GAAGCTCTATGGCTAGTGATATTGTGACACTCATAAGGCAGGGTAAGACCTGCTCAGGATGAGAAGTTCCCTGGGGAAGCCACAGATTCGTTATTGCCCTCTCTCTGTCCTTGCAAGAATGCTTTGCTCTTCTTACTAGCCCATCAGGGGCACCACTGCTATTTCCAGAAACACTCTGTAGTCTTCCCTGGTGTTACTATAATCAGTAAATACTGAGGTTCTGGCTGCTTCCTGGGCTTTTGTTCTCTGTGAAGAACTGGTTAGCCCAGTTCCCTGGTGCACCATCACTTTGTCTCTTTCTCTTTGTTTTCAGTGTGTGTCATATCTGGCAGGGATTAAGGTCTACTGCAGGGGCCCTTAATAACAATGTTCTTTGTTTATAAGCAACTGTCTTTGCAGTAAGTGTAGCTATGGCCAGTGTCATGTTCAGTACTGTTCCTGGGAATAAGGCTTAATTATTCTGGGCCTCAACATCATTTGACATTTTCCACAGATTAATCTAAAAGCAGTCTTTCAAATGTTTAAACCATCATATATAAACTTATGTTCTGATTTCAAATGATTTTAAAGTGTTTTTCTGTCCCTTACAATTACAGATTTTAAGGTAAGGTTTCATTGTTACCCTTCTTCAAAATATGAGTACAAATGTATGTATTTCTTATGTGGACAGCACTCAAACTTGTGTTTTTAAGAAAAAGTAGACATATTTATTTGTTATTCCTTATGACATTTTCAAATAAAACATAGTAATATACAGAATTATATGGAAATATTCTCAATTACAGATCAATTTTCCAATCACCGGGGGATAACTGATAGAAATCCTCCACTCATTTGAATTTAGATATTTTGGGGATATTATTGCTCAGTCTGTTTTTTTTGTTTGTTTGTTTGTTTGTTTGTTTTTTTGTTTTTTTTTTTACTTCTTTGTAATTTATTAAAGACTTTCTTTCTTTCTTTCTTTTGATAGCAGAGATTGAACTCATAACCTTGCGCTTGCCAGGCAGGCATTTAGGCTGCTGAGCTAAATCCCCAACCCCCAAACTACTTTTAAAGTGTTGGATGCTTTCTATAGATATATATTTGCTACATTTTTGTTATTATAAAATCATCTGACACTAGGCAGCTTATGAGAAAAAGATTTAATTATCTCACAGGTTTAGAGCTAAATTCTAACATTAGAAAATATTACTATAATTTAGCTCCTAATGAGGGCTTAATTGGGAGGACTGTATCATTGGCAGGAGTACATGTCAAAGATCTCATATGGCAGGAAAAGAAACATAGGAAGAGAGTGATAAGTCTTGCTGTTTAATGTTAGCCCTATCATCAGAACTAAACATTGTTACCTTATTATATCCTGAAGTCAGTGTCCCTGGTCACCCACTGGCCTACTACTTGGCTCAGTGTCTTAACTGACCTACCATGTGTTAACACTGCCTTACTTGGGACTAAGATTCTAACACATTAACCATTAGGTAAATCATCCAAATCACAATGCCTTTATACTTGTCCAAATTGCTATTACCAAATAGCATAATTTAAAGATGGAAAGGTTTATTCTGGTACAGCTGTGTCAATATATGTTTGGCAAATTTACACACAGAAAGAGCATGGCAGAATGGCTCAGATGGAGGAAAGTTGCTCATGTCATGGCAGCCAGGAATCTATTGGTGAATGTATGATCCAGCAAAGGAGTTATGCTCTTCCTGGTCACATTCCCAGTGACCCATCTTTTCCAACCAGACCCTGCCTCCTAGAAAAAAGTCACCTATATTGTACTGTTATTATAATCACTTTCCAAAAGCTACATCTTTGAGAACATGAAGCTCTTGGGAGAAAGCACAGACTATAACATACACAGACTATAACATTCTGGTCCTGGTTTCCAAAATACTCATCTCTTTAACTAAAATGAATTGAGTCTGTCTCTGGTTCACCAAAATCTTCAGAGTTTTAGCATTAAAAAAAAAAAAAAAAAAAAAAAAAAACTGTGAGTCTAAAGTCTGCTTTGAGTCTCAGGGCAAACTTTTATTTATGAGCACCTGTGTGTGTGGGGGGGGGGATTAAACACTGCCAATATACAGGAGCACAGGGAAAACATCCTCCTACCAAAACCTAAGAAACAATTGATACAAATGGAATCAAAGCAAACTGAGCCCCAGCAGGGCAGATACTAAATCTTGTCTCTCCACAGAAGACACTGCATCAATTTGTGCCCAAAGGCAAACCCCAATCTGTGTGAGTAGAACTGCTCCTACAGCACTGTTTGGTGGAGCCCTCGGAATGGTTTTGCTCATTGCTTGAAGCTTTTCTCAGACATTTCGTGATTTTGGCTGCTGAAACTTCCTAGTGTCTCCAATGCACTTTCGGTTTTACTCTCACATCTTCACACATTATCATTTCAAAGGTCCACTGCCTGGCTTAGGAGGGTTTCTACTGAAACTGAAGTAATTCTCTCTTGCTTCTTTTCTCTTTCATTCTCATGCCCTTTAAAAAAGTCAGCACTAAATAGATGATACTACGGTCTGCTACAAGCTTAAACAGTAGCCAGGACCCCTTAATCATGGCTGCGATATTCTTCAAGTGTGTAGAATTCTGATCACTGTGAAATAAATACCAATAAAGCAATTCCTTGAAAGGCCCTTCTCAAGCACAGTGCATAGGGCTCTTCACAAATAAGAACTTTTCAGCTTTGCACTAGATGAATGGAGTCTTACAGATTTCTCACATGCCCTCACAGCATCGTTTGTATTGTTCTGATAGATGTACATGGCTTATTTTTACCAGCCAAGCTGTACAAGTCCAAACATTGCAAGTCTTGACCTGAAATGAGTTATTTTTCTGGTGAAACTCAAAACATTTAAACCACTCAACTCTGCTGTTTGCTCTCAATTCTCAATACTCAGTTGCCATAAACCCTCCATTAGTACTTATGACACAGCCTCAACCGGGGATTCCCTTAAAATTCTCTTCACCTAATTAAATTGTCTGCTCTACTTAGCAAGAGTCTCCTGAAAATGCTCAGTACATAAGCAAAATGTAGGCAATTTTTCTACCAGTCTAACACACATGGTCTCCAGTCAAACTGTCAATGGAATTTGTATTTCCCATTGAAAACTCCCCAGCCTGGCCTTTACTATCTGCATTTGAACTTCTGCTAGACCCTGCCTCCTAGCAAAAGGTTTCTATATCACATATTCAGGTATTGTTCTGGCAATAACACCACTTGTTAGTATCAAAATTTGTCTTATTTTAATTCCACATCTTGAAAACAAAAAAAGTTGATACAATATAAACGAGGAAGGATTATTTTGGGTCATTTTTGTAGAAGATTTATTTCATAGTCCCCTACTACAGGAGACAGTGCCATGTGGGGAAGGTCTTGAGGAGGAAAGCTGCTTCCATCGTCGCTTCCAGTAATCAGAGGAGAAGTAAGGAGGGTAATGTGCTCTTTTAGTCAGTCCTCTCAGTAACCTGTCTCTTCTGATCAGACTCAGGCTCCTAAAAAGTCAGCTCCCACTGCATCCATAATCCAATCACCTCCCAGAATACCTGCCAAGAAGCCCAGAACTCACTCCACAGACCTCCAGATATAATTATGAATATCTTGCAAAGGATACACATTGGTACTGAACAATATGTATTTCAAGCAACGTTCTGATTCCTGTCACTCAACAATGTATGAAGTTACTTTGTTCCTGGCTAAGAGTAGAAAACAATTTCTTTGTACATTTGATATGAAACTACTATCTTTATAATACAGCAGATATCACATATTATCACACGTGTTAAATTGACTTTCACACTTATTGGGAGACATTAAATGACATCAAATTTTTATGATTCTCTTGTGTAGAACTTTTTGTGTAATTTCATATCCTTTTAGTTAGAAGAAAATTATTGTACACTGTATTTCATTCAAAATGAAAAATTCTTATTGGGGTTTTCAATGTTAGTTTTTTTTTTTTTTTTTTTTTCCTTTTCATCAAATTAAGAATGATAAATGTTATCTGAATCAAATGTTTGATCAAATAATTCCCAAATCCCAATATTATCATCATTTATCAAATGCAGTTCTGATGAGAATACGTTCCTGTAGTTAGGATTTAAGTGATTTGAATTTCCTGTCTGCACCAAAGAGGGAATATCAAGACTTTCTGACCAGTGTGACCAGAAGCGGAGATCAAGGGTAGTACATCAGCACAGCTCTAGAAAATTCTTGAGGGGAGGGCCATGAAGGAATGAAGGCAAGTGTACAAATGCAGAAAGCTGAAGTCAGATTGAAGCCTCTCTCTTGTTGGAGAAAAGAACCACCCAATGACTGCAGCATGTTTATTTATGCACTCAGCAGACTGATGTCCGGTGAAACCCCAGTGCCTAAGAACTTTCTTGCCCAGCTCATCTAGGACAACTCCTGCTCTTGGGGCTGGCTTTACTCTAGCCCTGCACTTGCGATAGATCTTCAGAGTCAATCTCTTCCACAAAAAGGAAAGAAAAATGGTAGAAATTAGAAGCTACCAGCATTTGACCATCAAAAATTGCATTGGAATTCTACATACTACAGTTCACAGAACTCAACTTAGAATGTTTAATCAATTTAAGGTTTCTTATCCTATTTTGTTCAAAGATGCCTCTTTGATATTTGTCGTAGTAATTTTCGATGAACTAATTTAAAACGTATAATGCTTAAATATGTGTGTAGCCAGAGAAAACTGGCCTTATGTTAATTCCTTATAACATTTTTTAAAACCTTAGTCCCTTTGAATTCATTACAGTTGTATATTTATTAATTGTAATTCCATAGTTTTAAGAAAAGAATGCACTGTGCCTTTTATTTTGTTATTTGTTCATATACTTTGCTATCGAAAATTTAAATGTTTAGTTTTCTCAATAATATATTTATTTCAATATATACTTACAAACTTATCCATGTTATTACTTACTGATATGACTAAGAATTGCAAAATGAATGTATAATAAAGAAATGTCAAATAAGATTTTATTGATAGTCTCATTTATAATATTTTAAAATTTTGTCAAATATAGTATATTAGAAGTAATAAATTTAAATATATGGTACATACCCAAAACAAGCAAGCAATTCAAATTAACAAAAACTCTTGTACTAGTGTCCATATGAGATATTTCTTGTGACCAACTAATTAAAAAAGATCTTTTTTTACCATTTACACTTCAGAGTACTCACTACATTAGAGTAAAAAGATTAAATAGTTACCAAAATATGTTTCAGCTTATAACAGTGGAAAAAATAAGCAATAACACGATTTGGGAGAGGTGTACTACAAATTATGTTATACAAGTTAAGTATCTGTAATAGGAAACTGAGATCAGAAATGCTCAGAAATTTCACTTTTGAGCATTGTTTTGCAGCATATTGGATTCTAGATTTTTTGAATTATGGATAATGAACTGATACTATCTGTGCAAATATAATAAAGTATGAAAAATCTTCAAATTCTGGGTCATTGCTAGTCTCAAGTATTTGTTCTAACTGATGTCCAAATTGCACTTTGTAGAGTGGAGGAAGAAGAACAACAAAGAGAAAATATTTAGGTGCTACTTGTGGTTTAGGACCTCAAATCTGAAGGAGAAATCAGGAGAATTTCCAGGTGATGGTGAGAGGTGGAATAGGATGAGTATGCAGCAGGAGAAATGGTCAGCTGTTGGTCCAAACTGGAGCAGTTCAACAGAGTAAAGCCTAGAGTTTTTCAAAAATATAAAGTTAATTTTCTCCCCTATGTTTATCTATTACTATAGAGAGACTTATATAAATGATACAGAAATCAGTGGCATAATAATATGGAAACAAAGGAAACCAAACAATTGTTAGCAAAGAAACCTTGAACCACATAGTTAAATTTAGTTGTATTGAAACAGCATATGGGAATGTATTATTGAAAAATTGCTCCTCTCAAGATTATAATACATTGCAATATCTAGATATTAGATAATAGTAAAAGAGCAAAATCCATCATATATCACTTTGACTATACCTTCAAAATATAAACTTTTCTAAAATATTGGTTAACAGAATGAGAGAAATACAGGCTTATCTTCTGATTAGGGAAAAGAAAGACGTGTCATCAAGTGTGTTGCCATTAACTATACCATAGACAAAGTTGAGGAGAGAAATTTGTGAGTGAAATTATTAGGAAAGTTTTGGACAGTTCAGTTTTTAAAATTTGAGTAGAAATGTAAATCAACTAAATCAAAACATTTAAATTACTTGAGAGATGGCAAGTGATAAAAGTTTGAGAGTTCTGAATCTATAATGCTTATGTCTTAGCATATAAATTCAAATATAGATAGATTAACAATTGGGAAGATGGCATGATCGCTAAGGACTAGAATTTTAGTAGAATGGGCAAAGGACTAGAGCTTGGCATACCCTAAAACCAGAAGAGAATAAAGCATTAAGTGAACAGTAAGATAAAAGAACAAGCAAAACAATAAAGAACGTTTGAGTCATTTGTGGTATTTATGCTAAAGTGGAAAGAATGATCAAAATCAACTACTGGGTATGGCAATTTAAAAAAAATTGTCTGCATGCTTTATTGTTAATGCTGTTTTATTTTCTTTACTGTTTGATATGTAAATCAGACATTTTTCATAATATCTGAGATTAGCATTAAATAGAATACTGTTGGAGAGCATGTCAAAGTTTAGGTAGTCAATACTCATTGAAATATATCCAGATATAGTATAGCTGTATTATTTTGAAAATGATTAAATATTTTAGATAAGGCAGTAAAATAATTTTAGTGATAGTTGGATAATGACTAGTCAACCACTATTAATTCAACCACTATAGAATAAATAATTTATTTTATTTAGAAAGCAAACATACATACGAGTATTATATTCTTGAATTTAAAACTTGAAAGTGAATGAGGTTCAAATGCTAAAAACTAATATTATAAAATGTATTGTTTCCTTAAAGTAACAAATCTAAACTCAATGTGGTAAATATTATGTAAATATTATGTAAATATTATGTAAATATTATGTGGTAAATTGTATGTCTTTTGAGAAGTTTAATAATTTATTTATTTTATTGGAAGGAAAATATTAAAATCTGGTCCATCTCAGAAAAAAATCAATTTACCGCAATATATAAATTTTGCATATTATTTGAAAATTATAGGAAGTATTAGTATTAAATTTCTTTTTGGTACTGTGAGTCGAACTCATGACCTCACACTTGCCAAGCACACACTTGTACCACTGCGCTAAACCCTTGGCCCTAGTATTAAATTTTTGATAGTTTTATTCACATCAGATACTTCTCTAGGATATACATCAATGCATTAAATGTGAAATTTGTTAGTTATTGCCTTATAATGTGGAAGGTTCATCAGTCATTTCAAAGATCAAGGGAAGAAAGACTGTGACACTAATTTCATTAAGGTAAAAATACTTATCAATAATATGTATCATTATTTAATAATACATTTTAAAAATTTAATATAATTTCTATTCATTCTGCTATCAGTGTAACGCTCTCATGACAAATGTAGGTCTATAGCTTGAGAGTAATGTGGTTTGCTAAAGTGCTTTTACTGCTGAAAACACATGGGAGAGTTTTGTAACAGCCAACTCTCCCTTCTCTGGCTCATAATTTACACATTTTTACACAGGCATTGCATTTGCTCAGCACATGGCATTTGAAAGGTTTTTTTTTTTTTTTTTTTTTTTTTTTTTTTTTTTTTTTTTTGCATGTTTCCATTTAACCCTTTAGAAATTATAAAATAAAATGTATGTAAAAGGACTTATAAGATTTCTGATTAATTTCTGTGGTGCCTCAGAGTTATCTACATCATCAAGTATATATCCAATACATGCTATTGGAGCCACTGTAAGTAGCTAATTGTAGTTCAAAAATAAACTAAGACTTTTTTTTTTTTTTTAGCTAAAATGAACTCAAAATTTTTTCTGTTCTCTGGGACTTTGCCACCATTAGAAACATTCCAAATAACTGTTGATTGCCCAGTGTAATTTAACTTTCAACATTAAGTTAAAAACATTTAATATGTGTTGCCAATTACTGAAAAAAGTTATGTAGTCTTTAATTTTTTTTTTTCAAATTAGTAACATAATAATTTATTTGTGCCTGTCTGTAATTCGGGAGGTATTTGTCATTTTATAAGTTAAGACAATAGCGTAATCAGTGCTAAACCTCCTCCATGCAAAGTCCTGTGATGAGTATGCATGACCAGGCCATTTGCCTCTCAACAGATGAATAATTAAAGAAGACGAGGAAGGTAGATATCACACATTGGTACTCTGAAGTTTTCATCTTTAGATTTAGTCTTGCGCTCAGCTAACTCAGGGCAACTTTTCTATAGGGCTGTATTTCAAAGATCTACAAATATGGCTGTGCAGAATTCTTTCCTCTTCTTCTTCCCACATTTTAAGATGTTTCTTATTTCTGGAAGTTCTTTCCCTGATTCTTTCCTACTTTCTCAAAAATTTTGAATGTGCTCAATAACTAATGTTACTTTGCTTTTTTATCATCTTTCTAGTTTGCAAATACACATTTTAAATGTTGCAGAGAGAATTTTCTGAACACAGACAAAAATTAGAATTATCATTTCTTACATTTAAAACTACATTATTGAGAAGGATGTTTTGGCTTTCTCATTTACATGACATCACTGACATATACTTCATTTACTCTCAAATACAATCCACTTGTGATGATAAAGACTTGCAAAAAACTCGATTCATTATTCACAACTGTATATGTGTATATGTATATTATATTCCAAATGTATCTCGTAGTCTATCCATAGTTATACAACAGTGATTCAGTAAACATTTATCCACATTTAATTGAAACAGAAAAATAACAATTTATACCAATGCTCATTTATAGACCCACTTTATTTCTACATCCATGCAACAACGTTTTCCCTGAGTAAATCATGTTCTACATTTACAGATGTAAAACACTTCTTTTTTTTTTTTTTTTTTTTTTTTAGTCAGAACTGGCCCTAGGAATTAAATAAATGAGATTTATATTTTTATAAAGACTAGTTTATTTCATAAAAATATAAAAATATAAATATACATTTATAAAAATATGAATGAATTAACACAAAGACATTTTTCAACTAAATAAATATGGCAGTAGTAGTCATTCATATTTCCTTAGGGATATACTTTTCCCATATTAATTTACAAAGCAGTTTACAATGTTTAATATAATAGTAAAGGTGATTGAAAGTCCCTTAAGAAAACATTTACAAATTTCTTATACCTAAGAAAAGGCACAAAAAGCCTTTTTCATTTTTATTGATTATTGATGTGATTATAATTGTCTTCCAAGATTATTAGGCAAAACAGGTGGACTGGTTATTATTACTGTTTTTAAACCTATGTCATTCATATTCATTCACATAAACGTACTGATTAAGAAAACCCTTACTAAGACAACACTTGGGTATTGTTTGTAATTTTGATTTTCTATCGCTTTGTCCAAAGAGAATGCAGGCCACGCAGTCTAGTAACAAAAACAGTACTTCCACTAGGGTGCTCAGTACCTACAGTACTCAGTCTCGGTCGCTGTCATCGCCCCCGTACAGATCTGCCAGTTTTTTAAAGCGAGGTCCCCAGTCGCTGAGGAAGTCGTAATCGTGGTTGCAGTCCGCAGGCAGCGACTCCAGCGAGCTGAGCGAGCTGGCCACCGAGTCGGCGCCCTCGTAGGCGTAGGTGGCCAGCGAGTCGTAGGGGGGCGCGCTGGGGTCCGCGTCGTGCTCCTTCAGCCTGCGGCGGATGAAGTCCTGCACGTCGATGTTCTCCCACAGCGGCGCCGGCCTCCTCACCTGGAAGATGCTCTCGGGCAGGACGTCTCGCCTGCCTTTGCTGTCCTCCCTGGCTTCTGGGTTCCGCAGGGTGCCGATGTCGAAGGCCTGAGTGTCCTCCTCCCCGCCGCCCTCGTCATTGTAGGTCACGATGTTGTCGCGCACGTCGTCCTTTGAGATGATGAGCGGCTCCTTCTTCCTCTGCCTCTTCAGGGCAGCAAACAGCATGACTAGAGCTGTCAATAAAGGAGGAGGAAATGGTGAGGCCTGTGATCCAATATAAAACACGCGTGTGCGTGTGATGCGTGTGTGAATATTGCCAGGAGTATCTATGCTACAAAAATTCTGAATACCTTAGTAGAGTATTAGACACAACGCTTAACAAAGGGGCAGATGTTACTAACTTGTTTCCAAGGTCTATAGTGCACTGCCACTGAAAAACCATTGGTCAGTTATAATTACTGCACTTAGTCGGTTGCAGATATCCAACACATCACTGCTGCTAGATGTACTTCGGTTTAAAAATACGCCAAAATGCTAAAAGTTACACTGTTATTATCCCAAACGAGTAGTAACTGAATATTTTAACAATTCAAGAGAACATATGTACAACATACTTAGATGTAAATGCATATATACTGATATGTGGTATTTTATTAATATATTATGTGTGCATATATATATATATTTGCATAGACATAAAAAAGTATGCAATGGGCATTTCATTTCATCCCATATTGCACATCTGATTGACTAAACAGATTATTGATGTCTGCAATAGAACTCTAAGAGATACAATATAATATTCCAACTCAAACTCCTCTTTCATAGGTACTTATCTGACAGGTTTTCTGTGATACTATCTTGCTAATGAGTATTTTCTTAACTGAAATTCAAGCTTTGAGCTGAAATGTTAGTTTGATTCTGCTGGCAATATGTTTTTATTATTCACATACTTTTAATGTAATTTTAACAGTAAACATCCTCACATGTAATATACTGTATTATTTCTAGTTGTAGAAAATGAATTTATATTATTATGATATATTTGGCAATAATACTTCTAATAGATAGAAGCTGAAATTACTAAAGCACATTTCTGTGCTTCGAAGCTACAATTCAATATCATTCGGGGAAACCCTGGGACCATCAAAGGGCCTGTTCAACTTCTGTTGTTGATGTTGGTGTTTTACATCGGCTAGCACGCCTTCCTCTTTATTAGGAAGAATTTTTTTTCTAAATCATCACAAGTACTATCAATAAATCTCTGCAGAAATAAATTTAGACTTCTGAGTTACATGGAGGTTTATCCTGGAAATATTAAAATAAAATTTAGGTAAAACTGATCTACACCTGTACTCTCTCCTAATGTACAACAAAAAAAGTCCCTCCTAAATCTGATCTCCACCAAATTTCAACCGTACACTAGAAGGATGGAACCCTTTCAAAATTGAAAAAGCAGTAATGATTTTAGTTCTCTACTCTTTCTTAATAAAATAATAAATTTAAATCCATTGTATTATCTTAGTTATGAACATTTATTAATTCACATAAAAGCATTGGAGAAACTTTGATAAGTATTTTTTTTTCCTGTTTTGCTCTGTCAAATTTATATTTCACTTCCTAGACTGAAGTGCTTAATTTGGGAAATAAAATTGCAATGAGAGGAGCTAGGATAAACAATGGAAAAGTAAACAACTTTTCAAATATTATATTTTCTTGTCTGTTACTGGAATTTTGCCTTCTTTACATTTTGCATATGATCATATTCATAATGATAGTAGCAGTACGTGTAACACTGAAACAAGGAAAATCACAGACATTTTACACTGCATTACACTTATGCAGATATCTCTATCATTATTAAATTAGGATTAATAAAAAGTACATTATGTAATTTTTGCTCTCACTAGGTAATTTTGTTACACAGCTTCTTATAAATTTACCTTAAAAACTTACCTGTCACTTATCTTTTATCTACTTTTATCTTTGTAATTCTAGGGATTGAACTCACGTCACACACATGCTAGGCAAGCACTCGACCATGATTGCTCCTCTCAGACATTTAAATATTGTTCTGAGTAGGTCCTTGAGGTTCATCAGATTCTCAAAGCAGGCTTAGGATTTCAGAATATTTATAAATTCCTGCTCTTTGGATTTATGTCTTACCTTGCTACATAACATAGGAATAAACTAAACACCACATTTCTTGAAACTGTAGCAGGGTAGATATGAAATGTTGTTTCCTGTGCTCTGTCATCACCTTGCATATAGCAAAGCCCCTTATCTATAGAAATGTGAGACTACGGCCATTACGATAAAGCCTTGAGATAATGGTAAGGATATTTTAGTAATTTTGATACAAAACATTGTATATTACAACCAATTTTACCTAAAATAACAGAAAATCACTCCAAATTTAGGTAAAATATTTGGAAGGTGAAAAGGAAGAAATCTTGGCCTTTTATATCAATCCAGGAAGAGAGATGACAGCCTTTTTCAAATAATAGTAAAAAATGTCCAAGATTTCAGCATAAAGAAACATTATCAAATTTCCTAAGACACTACAAGAATATTTTAATTTATTTGGGGGCTGCTTTTATTTTCCAGGTGTGCAGGAAAGTCATTGTGTGTCATATAATACAGAAAATTAAAGAAAAAATTGTAACACACATAAATTCACTTTATTGTAAATTGGGGGATATAACTGAGGAATTAGAGCAATATGAAAATTTTAACACTTAGCTATAATGGCAAGACAGATTTTACTATTCATAGGGATACAAATATATTAGCTAGAGAAGCTGAATTTGGTAGCAGCAGGCAGGGGCTGGCCCTGGTGAGGATGGTGGTGAAGCCTGGGCTCTAAAGCGCTCAGAGCCAAAGCTTTTCTCAGTAGTTGGATCATCTTAACTGAGACAAATGTTGTCCCCTCACTTCCATCCATCCTCTAGTGAAGTCCTGCAGGATATCTGGCCAAAAATATTTCATCCAGACAGCTTGAAAGGATTTGCGGAGGAAAGAAGCCAGCGCATTTGAGCATTAGAACATAAATTTGGATAGCTCTTCCACTCTAAGCATAAGAACTTTGGATGGCTATTTGATGGAAAAAAAATTTTTTTTTTTTGGAATGTTTTAGAGTGTACCAACTGTTTAATTGAATTAAATTGTTGTCCTGTTTAGTAGGTGCTTAAATTAAATATTTGCTGTTGGAAGTATGACTTTATTTAGAAAATATGACAGGGTTAGGATGACCAGAGTGTCACAATGATATTTTTTTTAAGTAGAATTTTGACTCTGTAACTTAGTGTCTTGCACCTTTGCATAGTTAGTACAACAGGGAAAACCTTTGACTTTCCATGACAATTTTAATGTATCTGCCAATTAGACATTTTATGTCCGTATCAGTATTTATTGATTTTACTTGTAAAGGTAGGCTGTTTTTAGTTTTGAGAATAATATAAAAGAAAATTTCCAAATACAATAGTCAGTGTTTGGGACCTAATAAAAAGCTATCTAAAAAGTGACTTTCAGTATGCTATTAAGCCATTGCATAGTAGAATAAAAGTGCTTACCCTGTAGAGGTGTTATGGAGATTAAATCAGTTATTAAATTCAATGTCTTGGGGTCATAGTTTACCAAGTTATAACACTTAACGCTGTAAAATATGCTTCAAAAATATATATGTAGTATTGCTGTTATGTTGTATTTTGGGATCATGAGAAAACTAGACCTGTCCCTTTAGGATAAAGAAAATATCCTCTCTCTGTATTGGAAGGAATCATTTTAATCAAAGTTAAGAGTGCTGATTGTGGCAGTGGGAGGGGTCCCTTCGCACTGGGCTGCTGGGAAGTGTAGGAGTGCGTTCCGCAGGCAGGGAGCACTGGGAAGGGGCAGCTTACTGAGCAGAATGAGGACGCAGAGCAGGATGGCGACGAGAGCGCCCGTGCTCAGCCCTGCGGACAGGATCAAGGCCTCCGCGTTGCAGGACTGCATGTTCCCGTGATTATCGCAGGCACACACGCGAATCGTGAGGGTGCCAGTGCTGCTTTGAATAGGATAATCGTTGTCGAAGATTAAAATTGGCAGCAGATAGGTGCTCATTTTGTTGCGGCTGTAGCCATCTTTTCGAGTCATGATTCCAGCTGTATTATCTGGGGTGGAGGGAGAAGGAAAAGAAAAAAAAATATATATATATATTCATTCTTGTTTGAATGTCGGATATGGTAGACTGCATAAATAGCAGTTTTCAAAATCTCTGTACCTTTATTGTCTACAATGGTGAAGTTTGGATTGAGAGGAAATTCCGGTACTGGTTCAAAGAAGAATTTATGGCCTCGGGGAGGGTCATCTTTGTCCATTACGCTGATTGTCTGAATCAACTGAAACCAAAATACGTGAATTAACCTAATTAAACGAAACAAAAACCAAATCTTTTTCTATTGCAAGATACTTTAAATCTGAGAGTTGGCACTTTGATTACTAAAATTAAGGAAATGAAAAAGTTATTTTAAGAAAATTAGGCCAAATATATTTTAATGGTTTCATCTAATGTTTAATTAATGAGGATTAACACCCTGCAAGTATTACTGGTGATGCATTTCAAGTCACTATGTTTTGCTTTCTGATTAATAAAATATTTGACTTTAAAAGATGACCACTCCAATACTAGCATCCTTTATGCTTGTTGTAAAGCACCAGTTCTCTTTTTTTATTAATATTTGCTTACCTATCTGTTTGCTCCACTGGAAAAAAATGTTTTCAATGAAAGAAAATATGAACGATACTTTTTGAGATAAATAAGTGCTTTGCAAAACCACTCCTTTCCATTAACAAAACTATTAATATATTTTTAGACAAATGAACATTTTATTGCGCAGTATCCTAAAACAGGATGGGAAAGATATGGGGGGGGAGTTTGGAGAAATGTAGTGCATATTCCATTTAGGTTACTTGCTTTTGTTTTCATTTTGTTAACAAAGAAACAGTATAAAAGCACTCCTCAGCTTTTGTAAAATTGGCATTGAAGGTGCCAAAGTAAAGTGCTTCTTAGCTGAGATCCATGAAGTCAGAAGTGTGCCATAGTGGGAAGAAACAGCAAACAGTAAGTCAGGCAAAATATTCCATGAGCATTTCATAGAGAAAAATTGCTGAACTGCATCTCAACGTGCTTGTTTTTCTATGCACAGGTCTGCCATCGGTCTGATGTGAATTTACAGTCATTTAATTACTCTTAATTTTAGCTTCCTATTCTAGAAAAATAATCACACCACTTGCAGGTACACCAGTCCAACCTTCTGTGGTGCTGATTATTGCAAGTTCACAGTAGTTGAATTTATTCCTTCTTTTGGTGATTCTGTGCCTCCTGTCACCATGCCAACTTGCATTCTCCCTATACTTTAACTTGATATTAGTGACAGATTCATGAACTTTATTGACACAGTGACCATAATTCTTATAGAGTGCTTTCAAAAGTGCACACTCAGTGCAAAATTTACCTTTCTTCCTTAGACAATATAAGCTGAACATAAGAAAAAGATTGCATAACTTTTAGAATTCTTGCTAAAACTTCTGGTCCTTAACAATGATAATAAGCTTAACTGCTGGTGATATTTTAACATATATAAACATTGGTCCTTTGATTACATGATTCAATTATTAAAAGACTTATTAAGCCTTTTTGAAAGAAAATATAGACATCATTTGGTAGTAGATATATTAAAATTATAATCAGATGTTATCAGTTATATTCTATTAATATCAAATGCAGCATAAAAGGTACCAGTAAATCATACAAATCAACACATGGCAAGCATACCAATTCATACATGAGTAAGGAACATCTACTGCAACCATGTGTAAAAGCTGTCAATCATAGCACCTGTGAAGGTGATCTTATCTGAAAATGAAGTCATAATGGAATAGAGAGGGCTCAAATATAATACTAGGGTCTTCTTAAAAAGATGTAAATTTGAACACAGAAAATGATACCATGGAATGGTGGAGACTGCAACTGGATTAACTTGTGTCTATGTTCCAAAGAACAACCAAGAATTACCATCCACCACAAGAAACTTAGAAGTGTCCAAAACGGAGCCTCTATAAGCCACTAAGAAAGCATCTCCTTGCGCATAAAGCAATGTTGGATTTCTAATCTGCAAACTTGTGAGAGAAAAAGCATCTGTGCTTTTAATTCATCTAGTTTGTGGTATTTTTCACTGCGGCATCAGGAACTCAATATAATTGTGTTAACACACACACACACTCACCTATACAAAGTGCCATTTATTAGTGCCATTTTACAGCAAAGCATCCAACCCCAAAACATTGATGCAATTAACACTAAACTATTTTAAGATATTTAGAAGTTGCAGACATTTAAAATCTAGAGGCACCAAATAAATGTGTGGTAGAATTATTATGTTTTTGGAAAATTATTTGGCATACTGATTAATATTTATTGAGAAAAATTAATCATTCTTACTTTGACTTTACTATCAAAGAAATAATACTAGGTATTAAGAAAGTGTAAATAGTATAATGTTCGCTATATTTCTGTCTGCCTGATAGAATTTGATTAATCAAATATCTACTTGTAGAGGAGTAGTTGCATAAATTCTTTTGTTGCCATCTTATAAAAATTAACCCTCAAAAATAATAATCACTTACTGAACTGAGAGTATACCCACTATATCCTGCAAAGAACAAAAGAGGAAAAAAATGGAATTGAAGTAACTATGCAAAGTTTCTATACAGATGGAAAAACTGACTTTTATTTTTTAAGCGTTTCGCTAGGATGCCCAGGTTGACCTAAACTGCCTTGGCCCTGTGAACTCTTACAAGTGTGTGGCACTCATCCTGCATCACTTGTGTTTTTATTTCTTTTGCTTTTTTTTTTTTTTTTTTTTTTTTTTTTTTTTTTTTTTTTTGTATATAGGTGGAACATTGTAAGTGTGTTTGCCCTACTTATCTGTGCTGCCATTAAAGACTGTGTGGCTTACAAAGCCGATACGTGTTTTCTCACAGTTATGGCAGCTGGAAGTTGGAGCTCAGACTGCCAGCACGGTCAGCTTCTGGAAGAGGCTCTTTGCCTGGCTTGCACATGCCTTCTCTTTAAGTCCTCAAATGGTCTGTTCTCAATGCATTAGCTCAGGAAGAGGGAGACAGCATAAGATCTCAGGTATCTTGGCTTGTAAGAATACTAATTCTGTCAGACCATTCCTTGTCCACTGCCAATGGCTTCATTTAACCTTAATTACTACCTTGGAGATCTTTTGTTATTGTTTATATATTGTGTCAACTTGAGAAGTCTAGAAGCTTAACTAAGGGATTCAGCAGCTCCAAGTCCTGGAGTGTAGAGGAGAAACCATTACCATTCTAGGATTTTATTCATTGTGTTGATTTGAGAAAGTGGGAAGTTTAAGCAATTCAGCAAGGGCTCAGGGTCTTTAGTTTGTAACGTCCTCAGCTTGTGCAAGAAGAACACGTGCAGATGGTGTGACTGCTACACCAACCCCAAAGGAGCATCCTGCACCCACTAACAGGCAAATGAGGAGGGGCTGATTGCTCTCGTCTTCACCTTCAGCATGGATGCCATCTCTCAGCTTCTGGCATGAACTATTTTGCTTCTACCTGGGACTTTTCAGCTTTTATTGTAGACTCTTTAGCCTTTGTGATAGACTCCTCCGTGTTCCATCGCAGATCCATCAGCCTCCTGATACAGACTTGCACAGGATACTGCAGTAGGCTACAGCTCTTGGGTGCAGAGACCCTCTGCACACTGCTTTTTCATCTGACTTTGTGGCTGACCACTGTAAGCCAATCTTGTAATTTCGTATACATTTGTATATCTTGAGTTATAGCTGTTTCTCTAGTAAACCCTGACTGATACACCTTTACTTCAAATACAGGCACACTGGGGTTTAGATCTTCAACATACAAATAAGGACATAAGCATTCTGACCATAATAACGTCAACCAAAATAAAGGGCCATTCCTCATTTTATTTTCTACATTTAAGTAGATCTAATTGTAGAAGACTCTTAAAATCTCCCTGATTTCCTGAAGGAGTTATTTAAGCAACTCTAATAGTTAATCTCCTGTTTTAAAAAATGAACATAATCTGCATTGCTTATAGTTACTGTAGATGTGTTTGTTATATTATGCTGTAAAAGGAATTTGGAACTGTTCTAAGATAAGTATTTTTATTTCAAAAATATAAAATTTTCATATCACAAATAAAATATCACATAGATCAAAAGTCTTCTGGCTGAAGTAAAGTTGTAAAATAGTTAAAATAATTGTTAGATTTCCTGCATGCCAACAGAAAAAAAAAAAATCATGGCCACACTACAGGTATATTTCATGATATATTTCCATGTGGTTAGAGTGTATGACTAGGCATCAACCTAATTATGAATCCAAGTAAGAGCTTATCTCATGAATGGTCTTCACTGTTAGCCTGGTATACAAATAAAGGCTTGAATTTTAATTTTTCTTACAATTCATGATTATAATAAGTTATAGAAATCATTTTAAAAGTTCACTGAATTTTCTAGTAAGAGATGGCAGTATAAAAATAGTAAGAAAACAATGAAAATAAAGTACATTATTTGCCTTTATAAAGTGAAAAAAATTATATTTATAGTGATTTTATTTACCTGGCCAGATTTTGCATTTTCACACACAAATGTTTCATAGTACATGGCAAATTCAGGTGCATGGTCATTTATATCTAGAATTCTGATGAAGACAGGAATGTGAGTGCTTTGTTTTGGATTATCTGCAATAAGAACATGAATACAATTTTAGTTTCAATTACACAGAGGCAGAAAAAACACTTGTCTTATTTGTAATTTAGCAACAAATCAGTTCTGTGTTATTCACTGTCTCAGATAGAATTCTGATGCATATTTCAACTTTGTTACATAGCCCACATAGAAAGCACATTAAAAAGGATAATATTTGGTGGAGAATGAAATAATATTTGTGACAGATAATTTTAGTAGATAAATAGATGATTTTTCTTTTCCTGGTTTTTTTTTTTTTTTTTTTTTTTTTTTTCACCAATAATGAAACTGATGACTTCTCACTCCCCAGGCAGGAACTTGTGCCTCTGAGCCAAATTCCTGGCCCTGGGCAGAAGTTCTTATTTAGCTTTTTTGGCTGGCTTGGAATTTGTCGTCTTGTCTCGGCCTCCTGAATAGCTGGGATTACAAATACATGTGTTCAGAAGTAAATAATTTATGACTTTTATAAATTTAGACTGTATTTCTATTCTACATGTTAGAGAAAATGAAAGAACGATTTGATAATTCTTAAAATAATGTAAATGTAATTAATAATTAAAAATAATTTTCAAGACATGGTGGCACAAACCTGCAATCCATCACTCAGGAGCAAGAGGGTCTATTTGAATCTGAGGCCAACCGGGACTCCTTAGTTAGTCCGGGCCAGCCTGAACTACGTAGAATGACCCTGCCCCCATCAATCAATTAATTCTAGCCATTTCTCTAAAACTGTACTAATGTAGCAATTTTCCTCAGGAGAAAGACTGCTTAAGCCACACTTTTTTTCTCTGATGAATGACAATGCCATTAGCTAAATGTGTCTCACACTTACTTATTTCTGTGGCTGTAATGGTGATGTTGTGCCATGGGGATGATTCCCGGTCAAGGGGTTTCAGAGTAAAAATAGAGCCATTTTCGGAGTGTATACTGAAAATTCGGTCCATATCAGTATGTCGATCCACCGAGTATCTGGCAGGAAACAGATTCGTAAGTACCTTCTACTATTTCCTTAAAGTTATAGTCAGTTCTTACAATGATCTAACAAAGACGTGAAATGTGAAATGCTAAGAAAATCTTTGATTTTCTTCTTATACACTATTTACTTAAGCAATTTCATACACTTGATCATTTCCAATACTACTATTTTATGAGTATGAGCACACTGGATATATTCTTTTCACTAATGACTCCTCTTGGCAGCTTTCAAGTGAGATTTTAAAGTGTCACTTGATTCATTTATTTTATGGTAGATCCTTCTCAGTACTTGAGATACACTAAGCAGTCACACTAAATTTAATAGCCAATAACATTGAATAAATTAAACATAATCTGAAGAGAATACGAACATAAGAAAATTTGTACACAGAGTATATATATTGTTCTTGGATAGCTGCATTCAAGAAAGATCTCAACGGAGAGTCCTTTCTAATCTATTTCTCCAAATTATTTCAAGTAAAAATGAAACATTATATCTCTGCATAATTCCGTGACTTTCTCATCAAGGCTGGATATGAAAGCTTGTCACCATATCTTTGTATTACTATGTAGTTGGAAAGACAGTGTTTCTTCCCCCAAAGTGTTAATCTAATCCCTAGAATATCCAACTTTACATGGCCAAAGTAACTTCGTAAGTGTGAATAAGTTGAAAACACTTAGATGGTACAATATTCTTGATCATTCCAATGTGCCTGATCTAATCATATGAACACTTAAAAGCAGAGTGGCTTGAAGATATGCGACAGAAGGAGAAAAGCGGATAAATGTGAAAAGTGAGAAGAACTTGACTCATCATTGCTGGCTTTAAAGATGAAGCAACAAGCCAAAGAATGCAGGCAGCTTCTAGGCACTCGGAAGACTCTAAATTGACATCCTGTACAGGAGTGGAACTTCGCCTACATAGCTGCCAGGATCCAACATCCACTATAGATGTGGTTTAACTCAGTGGTGCAACGCCAGCTTGGCAAGCATGTGGTGCTGAGCTAGAATCCTGGTGCCCTCCCCTACCAAAAAGTAAAATAAAATAAAATAAAATCCACTCACAACCTGAATGGAAAAGAAAGTTTGTTTGTTTGTTTTTTTTTTTTGAGTCCACAGATTGTCCACATCTAGACACTGCCTCTTTCACGAGACTCAATCATACTTTTGACCTGTTTAAAAAATAAAATAAAGTTATATTGATTTAATCTCCTTCCTTTATAATAATATTTGTGGGATATATAGAATACTAAACACTCTCAAAAGAAACATTTTTAAATGCTTGCTTATATGAAAGCCCTGTAGTTACATGAATCCCTGTTACGTTGTAGCAGCTAATATACCTTTATTATTGGTCTGAGATTTGCTGCTTATAATTTGTAAATGATTCATTACATTACAAGAGAGTGTTTCTCAGATGTTTATATTCACATGAATCACACAGGGACCTTATTATCAACAGAATTTAATGGGTAATTTTGTATCTCAGTGGTAGAGCAGTTGCCTGTTGTGTGTGAGACTCCAGGTTTAATGCCCAAAACAAGAAAAGCAGCACCAGCTATGAACCTAGACTCTGAATCAGTAGCACTGGTGTGGAAACACTTTGGAATTGTAGGCGAATCCTGCATTGCAGGTTCAGGGACCAGATATTACATAGAAGGCTGTTCAATTTTATTAAAGACAAAGAAAAAAGAAGATAAAGAATCGATTACTAAGTTATAGTTCCTATTATTCCAACTATCTCCTTAAAGAAATTAAATAGATTACCTCCATTCCAATATGCCTAGTAGGTAAAATTCTCTACTATTATGAATCAGTATAGCAGTCACTATGGAAAACTGACTTTAACAAATATTAAGAGTAAAAATTTAGATTTCTAAACTTTGCAAAGTATTGGCAATTTCAAATTTTTATATGAAAATTTATCGCAATTTTTGAGTATTTCATCTTTTTTTTATTTTTGGGGGCTTTAATATAAGATGAGATTTGTTCTGTTTTAAGAACTATGTTGAAATTTAATGTAGATACAGATATTAAAATAATTGTAATACTATAGTATACTTCATGAAGTCCTTATCTAATTTTTTCTGCTAAGCCTGATAACAGTATTTCATAGACATGGATATGACTTTAAGTACAGTTTTGGCCAATGAAAACATTCCAAACTTCATCTCAGTGGTGATAAAACTAAGACACTCCCCACAGATTCATATATTCTTCTGCATTTTACTGCTAATACATCGAATGAGCTCAGTGTCCTCCTTATTGAAAAAACTAAAAAATGGTGATATTTTCTTAATTTTCAACAGTTATCATTGTGAATTTCTTACACAAAGTACTTGGGAGATTAAAACAAACTCACTCATCATGTAATCATTGTTCAAGTATAGCTTTACTTCTAGAAAGGGAAATGAAGGAGATAAAAGACTTATAGAAATATTGATCTAAAAATAAACACATAAATGCATAATGAAATATGTATTTTCCTAAAAGTAAATGTCATATTAGACTTAGCCAATCAGTCATGCATATTTGTAATGGACCTGATTTTCAAAGTAATTATTATTGTGTTAAAATTGGGTCATTCAGAATTTTCTCCTTTTAATTTTTGTTGCTTAATTCTGCTAAAATGAAAAATCATATTATTTATTCACAGATTTCCAGTCTTTGACAATTTAGTTACTAATGTGACTGTTTTTTTTTTATGTTTATGACTAGATCTCTACTACATAGTGTTTGACAGAAAAGAAAGTCATAGTAACATTAGAATTCTTTTACTGTGTTTTCCTTAAATACATGAAATTCTGCTTAAAAATAAACACAAGCCTAAAATGAACACAAGGAAAGGAAAGGAAAAGCTCATAACAACATCTTTGTGTTGAGTGAAACTTAATTTACAATATTCATCTGTCTCTCCCTTGTTGGAAAGGTCAACAGTTAACCATTTTCTTTTATGTCTGAATAGATCTGTGATTTCTCCTTCTGTTTCCATGGAAGATCAAAAGGCAAAATAAAACACTCTTCTGTTCTCATTGCTACTCGCCCTAGAGATTAGCACGGGGGCTCTGTGATGCAGGAATAAATGGCCATTCTAAAGTTATAAAAGTGGAGTTCTGACTCATTTGCACTTTACATAAGATCAAAATTGAACTGAGTTTCTGGCTGTCCTATTCTTAGGTTGCACTTTAAAAGTCATTATTTTTCAAGTTAGGAATTCGTGAAAGAGTAGCAATTTGACAATTTAGGAATTGTTGACTTTTATCCTTAATAATGACAGGTCTATATTAAAAATTTTACACAGTACAAGTAATATCTCTAAATTTGTTAGAGTTCAGAGATAATTTCTTTGTGTTCATCAGCCAAGTTCTATTTTCAGAATGAATAAGAACATTCTGATTTACCTATGAATAATAAATACATTGGATTATAACCAGTGACCACAATGAGCATGATAAACATGTAATATAGAACAAAACTATCTCTATACCTAGCAGATGCCTTCTAATAACAATAATATTTTACTGATTTCTCTACAAGGATTCTGAGCAATAAGTCTGAAAAGATCACTGGCATAAGTTTTTGTTTGAATACCTTGTGCAGGAAGGTGAGCTGACCAATTGGATGGCAAACAAAAACATGAAAAAAGACACAGAATGAAACTTGTGGAAACTGAGCTCTCATGTTTGTTCTTTGTTTGCCTTGCATTTTAATGCTTTACCATTAAAAGTTAAACACAGATTCCTGTACTATTATCCCCTATGGAAAATACAGACACCAGAAAAATCAATAGTGTGCAGTATCAGGTTATGATAGCATTTTTTTCCTTTACTGGATTCTAGGTTCCGGTTTCACTAATTCATCAAGGTCAGGGTATGGATTTGATGTTTTTCTTTAAAATTACTGCTTTCCATAAGTGTGTTTTCCATAATAATAAACTATAAAAACCTCATTCCACTTTGAAAATGTTAAGTGTATATTATATTTATAATTTCATTTGAAGCCTTCTTATACAGTTTTTCTTGCAGAAAAAAATAATCTTTCAGGTGATCTAACTCACAACCTGCCTTGCCCAGGTAGACGCTTAGGCTATGGAGCTAAATTCTGGGCAGAAAAAGTAATCTATTATAAGATTTTTATTTTACTATCTGTGACACTAAGAAAATATGTGAGAAGTCTCTTGATATATGAGTGCACGTATGTCCATTTGTTTTATATTGGAATCACAGCTAAATCTCTTGCCAATAAGTTTTTGTTGTTGTTGTTACTTTTCAGCTTAACAATAGGAGAAACGATTTCTTTTAAAAGTCATTGTAGGTTCAAAATATTAAGTATAAAATCGGTATGAAGTGAGGCACGATGTTCTTTCAGAACCTGCAAAGCTACAATCAACCCTGAAATTTCAGAGATTCATGATAACTAATGAGGTGAAGTGGAGGTAACAACAGCTGCTAATCGTAACCATAATCTCATGTTACAAGTAGCAGATGTATTTCAGAAAATATTTTTGATGAACGACTTTAAGGAAGTTCAGAATTAGTTCCAAAGTTTTTCTTGAAACAAAACAAAACAAAACAAAACAAAACAAAACAAAAAAAACCAAAAAAAAAAAAAACATTCCATGACGCTGATTGGGGCCTCTTTTTCCTCTGGGAATCAATCATCTTTCTAAATTGGATCAGAGCCAGGAAGGTGTATCACTGTGCTGCATCCTCATTGAATTATTGCTGGTTTTTCTTCACACTGTAATTAGAGTTTGAAATCTTGTTTTTCATATATTCCAATCTAACAAAACCAGCCAATATTCTATGCTTTCAGGTAAAGCTATTAATATTGGCAGAATTGGTAATTTAATGAAGATAATTTGACACGGATTGGTTCTCTCAGTAATTCTTTTTTCTCATCTTTAGATGAGATTTACAGCCAAAACTAGACTTTATTTTTTGTGCGAGACTTTAGTGCTCTATTGAAAGCAGATATTTCTGAAAGCACTATTG